TTACTGTGAGGCTCTGCTTGGATGGAGAAGAATGGCTTCTAAACTCAGGATGAAAAAAAAGATTTATTTCCTAGGATTGTGGTTCAGCAAGTAGGGAGAGATAAATGACAGCATGTACCCTGGTTTTGGAAGGGTGCCGTGTGATTGTTTAACAGTTCTCTCTGACATTACTCACAGCAATGTATGGTGACAGGGCTATAGAAATGTGGCTGGAGAAACTGCTTTGGTACTGGTTTTGCACACCTCTGCAAAAAACCCCAGCAAGGATCTGCGTGTGCCTCTGTTAAGTGCAGACATAAAGGTATGGAAAAATCCCTTTGCTGGGAATTTTAATTTTCAAATTTAACTTCCAGGTGGTAGCATTGAATTTTGGAGCAGGGCTGGCAGAATGTCCAGAGCACAGAGATGACATCCCATGGACCTCGCCATGTGTCAGTGCAGTCATATCTGAGTGAACATGTTTTGTGTAATTAGTATGGGATTTAGAAAAAAAGGTGTTTGCAGTTGGGTACTTACTTTATATGGTTTGCATCTCTTTGAAGTGCTGAATGAGAAAATGTTCTTCTTTCTCACTTCTGGACAGTGAAATGGAGTCTGAGAATCATGTTTGGCCGTGTTCCACACAGCCCTTTAACCTTTAGATAAATTACTTTGGTGAAGACATTCTTTGACTCCTTTTCTTTTCCTAGCTAATTCTACTCAGCGCTGGGGGGCAGGGAGAGAGGACACTGACATTTGCCCATTATTAGTACTGTGGAAAAATGAGATACTCTGTGTGATCTGCCTTGTGGGTGTGCAGCAGCCTACACGTGGTGGGGCTCATCTCCGTGTTGCTGTGAATGAGAATTTTTATATTCTGCTGATGTGAGTGTGCAAAACGTCAGAATAACCAGCAAGTGCAGTTCAGCTGTAATCAGTCTGTGCTCACCAGTTCATGCTGAGGGGGCCATATCTACAAAAATACCTGCACAGGCTCCTTTAAGACTAGAAAAAGACCTATTAATCTTGGTTTAGTAAAAACTACTCTCTGCTATTTAGTAAGCCATAGCCAAGGCTCGTGGAAGATGCATCTCTGCAGATCTGTGTTTTCATGCAAATGCTCTGACGTCAGGACACGTTCCTTTGTGTGCATTGCAGTAAATGAGCCGTGAGGAGACGGGACTGTCAGATGTAACCTGTAACCATGGTGGTGAAATGGAAGTTTCAAGAAAACAGAGTCAGAGGGAAATAAAAGGAAATTAAATGGAAGGAGTATGATTCTGACACAGTTTTTCCTAACCTGTTCTGCCAGGAGGCTTCCAGACCTTGTGCAGTTTTGCACAGTTATAATGTGCTTCCACTGAACCATTGAAATAGTCTTTTTAAATAGGTCAAATACAGTTTCCTTGCTTTAAAGTTACATCTCTCTCAACAATCTGTGAAACTGAGAGCAATCTTGGCAACCAAATCGGATGAGCTCCTGAAGATGTGCAGTTGTGAGGGTATGTTTTTGCGTATGGTTCTGTTGTCTGTCAGTAATTAGTGTGCAGTTTTCACATGTTTTGGGGAAGAGAATAAATCCAGAAAATTTGGAATAGTTTACTTTTAAACAAATAGAGAGACTATTACCTGGACAGGACAAATATAATTTTTCTTGCCTTTATTGCAAGCTGACATAATTTTCCATTTGAAGCTCAACATGAAGCATGTGGGATTTTTCCCTTCTTTTTCTCTTCTTACTCTAATTATTTTGTTTAATATATACCCTGAAGTCCTTCTTTAAGACAAACTTACTTTTGCTGCTGTGTGCCTGTGCAAGTCATGTGAAGCAGCTTTGGTGATTCAATTCTGTCACTTAAGGAAGTAGAACTTCATCAAGGGGACTTTGTGTTAGTTTCATATTTAGTCTCAGATGTAAATGTGGGTCGATCTTCATGTGTATATCAGCAGGTTTTCCTTTGTTTGGGCAGAAGTGTGTTGATATTCTAGGTGAAATGGCTTTGTGAATTAAGAGCTTCACCTAATTGTATGTTTGTAATCCAATTTATGTTTTAGCAAAACGAAAACTTTTTTAGTTACATTCCTAATGGCACCCTGTGTTTGAACCCAGTCTCATATCTTATCTTACATAGTTTTGTTACTAGTCAGGATAGAAAATAAAACCACAACTCTGACATGATCAAGGATGAGTAAAAGGAAAAGTCCTTGTTCTCATTAGAAATGTAATGTGCCTTTGTCACTGGTAGTAACTTCCCATTGGGATGTTCTGAGCATGCATGGAAAGTGCCTTTTTACTGCACAGTTTTCTCTGATTTTACAGCTGTGTCAAGATCCTTTCTGCCCTGAGCTCAAGCCAAACTTCTGTTTGAGTTCTGAGCTTTGAAAATCACCTTGAGTGGGACTTCAGAATGCCAGGGATGCTGCATCCCGGAGCTGGGCTGCCTTTGGAAAATGCAATTCCAGGGCAGCTCCCGGTGTCCATAGCAACCTGTGGGAGAGGGAGGAGAGCCTGGACCGGGCTGGGCACACAAGCAGACAGGAATTGGGATTTTCTAAGTGATACAAGTATTAAAGGTTGAAGAAAGTCAGACCTTGAGATGAGAGGGAACAGTGAACTATGGTAAATGGAGAATAGCTTGAGGTTTTTATGCCTTAGAGCATGAGCATTGTTAAAGACCTGAAATGACACCCCAAAGCTGTAACAGAGTATTGGTGAAAATTACTATTTCCCATTTCCCTTTGTGTGACAGTGCACAGAGCAGATAACAGTTTCCCTGCTACTGTGCCTTCCATTAGCTCATACAAAACATTTGTGCATCTCTTATTTTGTGTTCTTTAGTACTTACATCATCTCACATCATATTTATCTTTCTTTCTCCCTTTTCCCCAGAGTTCCTTATTTTATTCACTGCATAGACTTGCTTTTTAGTATGTGTCACAGGAGGCAGATAGACTTCAGAAGTTCCTGATTCAAAACCATTTAATATGTGGTTTATATTTTTATTACTCTATTCCTGTGTTCTTCCTTGGCCATCCTAGTGATATCTGCTAGGAGCCACAGATAACATGCTGCACCAGATGGATCTTTGGCCTCTTGTGGTGGCCATTTCTGCATACTGGTGAAGATTGAGGGAGGGCTTTAAAAGCAGAGTAATTCTGGTAATTCTGTATTCAGAGAACTGTTTCAATAATACATGTTTCAAATGATAGATTTAAAAAATGAAGCCACACATGAAGGAGAAAACAAATTCTAAGAGTTGGTTAGCGATCCTTTGATTAAGTATGTTCAAGGGATGCAACCAGATTTTTCCAGAACTAAATTTAATGTGTGATCATAGCATGAGCTGAGAAATTCTTCTGAAAGAAAAGTGGGATAAATTGATATGCCAACTGTTGTTTCCCTGGAAGATATTCCCTGGTTGCTGTAGGTTGTGTAGAGGCTGCTTCATCTGGTCTTCACTGTCTATTAATTATCTTCTTAGCAGCACCTTGGAAGAAATCCTTTTTCATGAAGAAAACAAAAGCAGTGCAGTGTTGATGGATGTTTTCAAATGTTTTGCTTTATAGACAGTGTTTAGTGCATATCCTTTAGACCAGTGGACATCATACTGTCTAAGTGTTGTTTTAATTTAAATTTCATGAAATAGTATTTCTACATACTCTTGGGCGTTTTGTGATGTTTTTTTAAAGCAGTCCTTTGTTGCTGTCAGGTAAATAGAAAATGACATCCCTTCATTTTGTGATGTTCCTCCACCTCTGTTTTTTTCCTCCCAAGAACATCATGTCTGTTTCCTCGGTGTAAATTGAATGTATTGTGAAGTGTAGCCTGTGACTAATCGCCTTTGCTGTCTCTGCTCATTAACTGTCTGATGGTGATGTGGTTGCACCACTTTCTACACATGGCCTCAAGGATATGGCATGGTGACACCCAGATTAAAATATGCAAGGCTTTACTTCAGGAGATGTTTTGGGTTGGGAAGTTAGAGAGGTTATCAGCTAATACTGGGGTTGGTTTTACCCCTTTGAATGAGTATTAGGTGATAATAAGGTAAATAAGTTGTACCTATTTCATATTTATATATTCTAGTATATTCTTCATGTTCTAGAAGTCATTTAATTTAAATTTTTCTCCAGTTTTCTTCAATTAATGTTATCCTACAATTCAAGCAGTATGTCTGGAATATGGCTTAGCAGTTTTTTAACTGGAAATACATTTGAAGTTTGTTAAATATCAGGTAGTTCAATGCAGATTTAATTCTGATGACACTCCGGCTTTTCAAATTTCCTGCACATTTCTCTTGGTGAACAATACAACAATGAAACAGTGCTGGGCTGCAAATGGGTATTGGCAGATGTGGCACTTACAGGTTATTGGGGAGAGAGGAACTCTGTCAGGTCTCCGGTCTTCCTTGGTGTCATGGTAACCATGAAATAGTTTTGTTGCAAAACTGTTTTCTCTGGTCTCTTTTCAGTAGGGAGATTCCCTCTTTCCTTCTCCCTCTTGTTTCCCAATGGAACCCCAAGAATTGGCTCACAAAAGGAGATGTAATTTGGCTTAGGATAAGAAACTTGATATTTTCATGGCCTTGTTTTGTTATTTTTGTGATAATTTTTAATTTGTGAAAGTTTTAAGAGAAAACAAGCAACACAAAATGTTTCTTTATAAGATTTCCTAAAATATTGAATGGAGTTTACCAAAACTTGTAAATGTGTGAAACCTCAGATAACTAAAGGCCTAAAGCTTAAAGTGATGAGCACCACCCCTTTGATAATTGTATTTTTGAGGCATTCAGTTGGAAGTGTGTGAAATGATTGGTCATTTTAAGTCTGTAGTTTGTATGTAGAATGCAGCAAACCAGTGGGAGTTTAATTAGAAGACAGTGTGTAGTGTAATACTTTACTAATGAAAACACTTGATTTCTCACAGAAATTTCGTGGTGCACATGTTTTTTGGCTCTATGGGTTTTTAATGATACTTCCTTCTTAGTAATTTGTACGTTAATATTTTCAATTTTTTTTAGGTGCTTATAAGAAGAAGTAGGAACCGTTTCTCAAGCTGAAGACAAAGTAAAAGAAAACTGTATCATGTGTTAGAACACTGAAGAGGGACATTTCTCGGATTAGTTTATTTCTGGATTGCTAAACAAAAGAAAGAAGAGGCGAAAATGGGGAGAAAGAAAATACAGATCACGAGAATAATGGATGAACGGAATAGGCAGGTGAGAAACAAGAATTCTGCATGAACAGGCCCATCAGTAATCTTAAAAATTAATGCAAAGTTTGAATACATTCATCCTAATTCACTGTTCTAAAGCTAAGCTTTGTCTTCATATATCCACAGGTGCCCTTGCCGGAATATGAATAAGAAACCTCAATGATTTTATGAGTGTTTGAGGAAAAAATGTTATTTATAAGTAATAACTCTTACTACTTAAAATTTAAAATTGCTGTTTCTATTTAAATGGTGCCCTACTGTGCTAGCAGTAGAGTGGAGGGGTGTTTAAACAGACACATGGCTTGATCTGGTAACTACTGGGAGCACTTACTCCTGGAGGCAGAGAAAGGATGAGAAATTCAGGAAGGATCCAGTTAAGGTATTTTCTGTAGCACTTCGACAGAGGAATTTGAGGTAGCTGTGGGCAGTATCCTCAGTCCTTTGGATACAGTAACAAATTCTGTTATGTTCCATTTAAAAGCATTGATTTATATTTCTTGTAAGAGCTGTTTGCTACAACAGTCTTTAAAAATTGTCAGTCAGAAGAGGGGAAGAGGGCTCAAAATGAGTGTTTCAGGGAAAGCTGCTCACTTGGCTGCTTGTGCCCTAACAGAGAGGTGCCCTGTGAACTTGAAAAGTACCAAAAGTTGATGACTCTTGCAGTAATGCTTCCTTTTTTAATTTCTGAATTGCTACATGAGATACAAAATAAAATCTTAGTTGCATACTGAAAATATATAGTGGGATAACTGGAAGCTGTCATTTTTAAGGCAAATTATTAGAGGAATGATCTTACTACATTAAGATCTTAAAGAGCAGTGCTGGTGGCTGAGGCCAAAGGTGCTGCTGGCCAACATCCTTTGTCCACTGATGGTCATGGGCAAATACGTGTGGGCTGGAGATGCACATGTACACAGCCCTGTAATCCTCTTCCAGCTTTTAACTATTCTTAGCTCAGGGATTTCCTGAGCTGGATGTGGTTTCCGTATATTTAGTAACCATTAATGGGGTTTTTTTTGTTTGTTTTCCCCACCCCCCACCAGGAAAGTTCAGTTATCCTTTGAGCCCTTATAATGTTGCAGCATTTACAACATTTTTTGTCAAGAATTTTCTATCGGTCTATTGCCCGTTGTTTCAAGAAACACCATTCTGTTTGTCCTTTTTCATGGTTCTGTCAATTATTCATCTCTTGTATGGAAGAGCCAGCAGTGACTTCCTATCTAGAGTCTGTCCACACTTGCTTATTTTCTCTTTAAGTAAGTTTTTTCAGGCTATAGCTGGCTTGCTTGCTTAGTTGTTTTAATACAGAATTTGTTTCATACCTCTTGCTCCTTTTCCTTGAACCTTTTAGAGTATTGCTCCATTACTTCTGATGGCCAAGGGCCCCAGAATTCAGGGTGCAGACAAAATATGGACTTGTATAGTGGTGTGCTGCTGTTTTGTTCTGTTCCCTTCCTGCTGTTTGATTTCCTTTTTTAACTTCTGAGCAGCAGCTTGACGTTGGGGCAATGTCAGAATTCCATGGGACTCTCTTGCTGCTGACACATCAGCTCAGAGCCCATTGTTTTGTTGGTGAAATCAAGATTGTTTTTCTCCCTGTGTCGCTTTAAAGCAATGTAAACTCTGAGAAGTCTATATATAGCAAGAAAAGTATTATTGGAGTTTGGGAGAAAGCCAAGTATTGTGTTTGAACAGCTTTAATCACCCAGTGACTTTATGTTTGATGTAGATAAATGTCTTAAGTACACGTAGTAAAAGTAGATGAATTAATGACTTCAGTTCTTTTCAGCTCTTGCTCTACAACTTAAAGCACATGGAGGAGATGGAAATTGATCCCAATTAGTCCTTTTTTAAAATTAATCTGGATTTGATTGGGCAACCTTGGTTTTGTTCTGCTTGAGAAACAAATAGCTTGCACTTCTACCCTGACTTTGGTGAGGTGTTTTGTTGTTTTTTTTTTTTTTCCCAGGAGAAATTGTTTTTTTTCTTTCGACTCCCCATCCCATTGTTCAGATTGAAACAATGGAGAGGATCAGTGCATTTGTATAAAATTTTAGACCACTTAGACCATTGCTGTGACTGAAGCAAAATAGGGAGATGAAATTCTAGTTTTGTTTCTGGCAGGTTTTTGGCTAGCACCTTTTTGGGCTATTTAGTGATGAGGAAGAGGATTTAAGCTCTAACTTAAAAGTAGAATTAGGCTTTATCCTTTTTCCTCTGGAAACTCAGATGAAAACACATTGCATCTTGTTTTTACAAGGTTTTAAAGAGATTAAATAGTTTTTGTTAGTGGAATCTTAATTTTTTAATGTAGAGGTATCTTTGGCTTTCATCCCACTGGTGTCCTGTGGTTTTGGTTGCCAGGAAATGGAATTTTAACATATTAGAATGCCCTGATGCACTGGGCATTTATAAGATATTTACTTTGACATTTTTTTTCTTTGATCCAGATAAGGAGGGCATTCAGGGTTTGTTTTGAACAGCAAGTGTAGTTCAGTTGTGCCCTATCAGGTTTTCTATGGCATGTATAGCTGGTGAGTAGGTCATTCATAGACATGCCTGTGATGTCCTTGATTGGGTGTTCAGTTTGAGGTTTAGATTTTCTTTGTTTGAAAATATAATTAGAATGGGACAGAGCTTTGTCTGCAAAGCAAGTTCATGTAACTTGTGTGGGAAGAAAAACTACTGTTTTGTCAGAAGCATCATATTTCTGATGGGATTGTATGTGAGCTCAAAACAGAATATATAGACCATTCCTCAGGGGGATTATGATTGTCATGAGACTGTCATTGTATTATTAATTAAGCAGCTTTATCTTCTTGAATGAGCTGTAGGACATTTATCTTCATTAAGCTGAAGAGAATCCAGCACAGTAAATTAGATATCAAAGGAGCTCAATCTTGCTGCCTTTGCTGTCTCCTCCTCACCCATTTTTTTGCTAAGCTATGTTAAAATAGTGCTGGGGAAATTATTTACCTGCAATAAAGAAAAATATTTTTTGAGGTTGGCATGGTCCTAAATGGAAGGGAAAAAGAGAAATTTAGAGAACTAGGACTGCTTTCGGGTTCTGAAATGAAAACTGAGTTTAAAATAATCTGTGTGCATTGTAGAAATGCTCAGGGTGCTGTGGTAGAGGGGTTTGTGCTAAGCACTGTCCAAGCACCTAGAGAAAAGTTGATGCCAGCTGAGAATCTCACGAGTGAAGCAGCCTTACAAGAGATGAAAAAGATAAAATTCCAGAAAAGAAATGGAGAGCTCTTGTCCAGGATCCTGCTGGTCCTCAGTGGCAGTAAACCTTAAATTCTTTTGTCTGAGGACTTCTCCAGGTGACACAGCACACACACATCTTGTTTATAAAGCCATTTTCCTGACAAACACTTAAGCAGTAGTACCTCTCTATACCTGCTCATACTCAGATAATAACCTTTTAAGTGTCAGAAGAGCAACAGCTGTGTATCCTCTGAGACTGTTAATGTGGTGGGAAGAATAGGATATACTTTATATTATTAATGGTATTAAAAAGTAATATGTGTGAGACAATGAGGAGAAAAAAGCCTTCAGGTGTGTACATACAGAAGAAGTTTCCCATCCATTTTCCCAAAAACTTGCTGTACAGCTTGGTAATTAAACTACAGACACTCAGAAAACAGGTTTGATTGTTTCTTGTGTCTTACTTCATTCCTCTCTTGCAAAAGCTCATTGAGTGTTGTCTGTGGGACATGGGGCATGTGGATCCTTCACCTGTCAGAGAGGCTTGTGCTTGGAATTGTAATAGTGGGATGTTAAATGCATTGACACTTTGATATCCTTGGCTGCTGCCTTTGAAAGGAGAGTTTTTAAACTTTTTTTTAAAATCATAACTGATGGTAGTTTTCATAACTCTTTCCTCCTTCCCTGATGGGCAGATGCTCCTGTGTCATGGTCTGTAATGGATTTGTTTCCCCACAGCAGTTCTAACTGGACAGAACAATTGTTTCCTGATATTTCCAAGTGGCAAAAAACAAGTCAAGATGACTTAATAGCAACAAAATAGCAAAATTCTTAGCTTTACATAATTAGAAATCATAGTGCATAGTAAGTGTCACTTCCATTAATTGTTCTGGGTTTTTTTTGGGTTTTTTTTTTTTTTAATTATAATTAAGGTTGTGAGTACCACAGAAGAAAATACTGTGATACCTGGAAAGTCAGTCTATTGAACAGAGGAAAGAAAGCTAAATTATCCTATTCTAACTAAAACTCTAACTAAAATTTAACTCTCCTTGGTAGTTATTTACCAGTGGAAGAGTTGGACGTATTGTGTAATTATTTAACTTATTCTAATAGAGAACATAGGGCCCTAAAATTGGCACCAGATAATATAGGCAGTTCTTGTGTTAAGCTGCATATTACAGTAGGAGCAAATGGTGTAGGCTCAATCAGTGTATACCTTCATTATTTTCCTTCAAACCCTTGTCATTTGTTTTAAAAAAATAAATCAATCATTATTCTTTCTTCTCTAGGTCACCTTTACAAAGAGGAAGTTTGGATTAATGAAGAAGGCCTATGAGTTGAGTGTGCTCTGTGACTGTGAAATAGCACTCATCATTTTTAACAGCTCTAACAAACTCTTTCAGTATGCCAGCACTGACATGGACAAAGTTCTACTAAAATACACAGAATACAACGAGCCCCATGAAAGCAGAACCAACTCAGATATCGTTGAGGTAACAATTTGAGAAGACACATCAGTCTTCTTATCTCCTTAATAATTAAAACATAGAGCAACGTAGAGCATGTTAAGATATTTTAATTAAATGCTTTAAAGTTACTTAATACCATGTTATAAAAATCTAAACTACTGCTTTTAGTTGGGTTTCTCTAAGGCAATAACTTGTCTCTACAGCCATGTTGTTTTCCCATCTGCCCTCCACCCCCTGCCAGTTTCTGGGAAACATGTTTGATTTCAATCACATTTGGCAATGGAAATAGAGGTGTGAAAAATGGTTGTTTTTCTGGGGAAGGAGGGGGAGAAATGTTCAAGGTTTTAATGGGGAGAAAAAATCGACTGAGTGGAAGAGAAAGGTCAGAAGAGTGCCCTCAGCCTAACAGACAATTACAGTTGGCCCTTTCTCCTCTGAGGTAGTAGCTACTTTACCAGTCATATCTTGAACACCACCTCTGCTGCCCCTTGTTCAGCCAAAAATTAAAAAAGCCAAAAAAAGTCAATCTGTGGAATAAACGAACTTAATTAAATTTGTTGTCCAGTGACTGTCAATTAAAATAGCAGCAGAATGATTGCAGTTTCTGCAGTAATAGAATAACATGAATATATTTACTCCAAGGTATTAGTTTCATCTACTTTTATAATGCTTGAGCTTTAAATAGAAACTCTTTTCAGTACATAATTTCTAAATTGGGTGCAGTAGAATTCAAGGATTTTCTTGGCAATTGGAGCCTTGATGTACTGTAACTCCTTTTCAGAGCATGTCTCCAGTAGTCCTGTAAATAGACCAAAACAGGTGGCTGACTTAAGGGTTTAATTTAAATTCTGAAGTTGTCTTCTGAACAAATGCCTTGCTTTTTAGGAATGATTTCAGAATAATGATTAGCCTTGAATAGCTGAAGAGCCTACTGCCAAGGGGATCAGAGTAAAGGGATGGTACTAGCTGATCTTGTACATGAGAGTGCAAGCAAAAAATCAGATTGACAAAACTGAGATACAGACAAATGTTTTATATTTCTTTCTGAGAAGATTCTCTGCTAATTTGTCAACTGTCTTTAATGATCAGAAAAAAACCCTCCCCAACTTCTGTCTTCAGCATTGAGTTCTAAAGAGAGGGATAATACAAGGCATGAAGAGTTGAAGGCTTAGTCAGTGGATTAGCATAAATAAGGGATAGCCACTGGAGAGGAAGGGAAAACCTAATTCCTGCAGAATGAGCTTTTGATGGTGACACATGAGTTTGAGACAGGAATGCAAGTTCAGCTGGCTTTTGTTCTGCATGCAGGGCCTCTCTGTGTTGTGACTCATGGTAATGGTGCTTCTTCACATCACAAAGACTAAGGACCTCTTCCAGAATAATTTTGTGCAAGGCTGCTTTTCTGGGATCTTCTTGTTGGTGGGTTTTTATACCAGGGTCAAGTGTTTGACCCTGTACATTACGTTACATTGACAAGTACATTAAAAGTGCACTTAGCACCCAAGGGCAGGTGTGCTCTGAGGGAACATGCAAGGACTCATCTGCAGATTCTTTCTCATTTTCTTCTCTGGGTTTAATGTTTTATGCTAGTGTGGAATTCAGGACTTTATTCCCATTTTTCAAATACAGTGTAATTTAGGAATGCAGCTTCCTATCTCTTCAGATTAGCCCTGTGTGCTCTTTAGCCTGGTTGTGATATATTTTTGGGTTTTTTCTTTCTGGATTGATAGGTGCTTGGAGTGTGATAGATGTTTAGTGACATCACCAGCGTTTTGGCAACATGCTGAAAGAACATTGTAAAATGGCTTCTCTTTTTTGTAATGACATTGAAATTCTGTTTTAACAAATGAAAATTAGTGCAGCAAAGCACCTAAAACCTGTCAAATTCATACTAAACTGAATTATAAAAAATAATTCTATTTTATGGAGTTATAGCTAATGTATAGATCTTAGTTTAGTAATACACTTCCCTCCTTGAATGTGACAAATGGCATTTATTGGGACATAGGCTCACTGTGTGGAGCCACTGTGGTCCTGATGTGCATGACAGGAGGGTGACTTTTTCTGGACTAGAAGGAAAGGTAATTCCATACAACTCTGAAGTTGTGTAATGGAGGAAACAAATCTGCTGCTATTTATTTCCAGTACTGGGTAGATAGAAATGTTGTAAATGATTAAGTGAAATCGATGAGACATCTTCCCTTTGTAGCGGTCTCCTGCTCAGTTTTGGCTTAGGAATTGCTTTCATATGCCCAGAGCTTGGTGTCTTCTGTTGCTGCTGGAATGTTTGTGAAAACATAGTGGGAGTGAGAGCACTGGCATCTTAAATGAATATTAGAAATTTTTTTTAATGCATGCAGTTACGTCTTTTGCTGAACATGTTATTGTAGATGGGAATGATCTGTTGCTGTCCTATACCTGTTCTTTTCTGAGGTTGCTGGAGTGTAAGGTAGTGCTCTTGCACAGCATAGATGTACCATATAGAGGTATTGAGAAGAGTGAAATTTTTATTCAGTGTGTGCTTTGAATTCTTGAAATACTGGGATTGTGCATTTGGTTTTACAAACCCATAATGGCACAGTTGCAGATTGTTACGCTGAAGTGCTGTCTGTGATTTGAAGGACTTGCTGTAGGTGTTAAAGCATTTGATGCTTTAATGTTCATGGACTTTTTTTCTGTAACAGATTATTCTTGACAAGTAATTACTTTTCCTGAAGAAAGAAGTATTTCTGCAGAATAAAATGGGAAGAATTTCAGGTTTTATCAGGATTCTGTATCCATATGGCCAACAAAATGTTTTAATGTATAAAAAACAATTTGAGACTTTGTGCATTCATTGTTTTTAAATCCAAAATAAAAGAGGGAGATGAAGAGGCACTGTATATTTTCTTTAGTGCAGGACATTGAGATTGTTGCAGGTTACTTACAGTAAGATAGCACTTCCATTTTGGGTCCTTCTGCCCCTCAATAAGGCCTCAGAAAGCAGCAGTTGCACAGTTGTTCCCTCTCTCCCAGCCTCACTTCTGGGAGTCAAGGGCTGAAGATGGCTCCTCCTGCCTGTTTAGCTCAGCTTTTTATCTTTTTTCCATGTTTTAATTTTCCTTGATTGATACAGTAAACCAGGGTTTATTTCACCTACACTTGGCCATGGTGGGTTTTGCTTGTTCCTCATCTCACCTCATCAGGCTGAGGTGATTTGATTTTTAGGAGCCTGTGTAAAATGTGACCTACTTTCCCAGTTGGCATCTGTGCCCAGGAGAATTCCGGGTGGGTGTCAGTTAATGAGCCTCTCCTGTGCTCTGTAGTTTAATGCTGTTTTCAGTGTAGTGTAATGTGCTGAATAAGGCTTAGGTTATACCCCAGATATTGACAGCTGTCCTTGAAATAGGTAACGATCTGTAATAAAAATGATAACTAGAAGGTACAAAAAAATATCTCTCAAACTATGGCACGTAATTATTGCAATCATACTCATTCTTGTGGAAGGACTGCTCTGGTATAAATTCCAGCAAATGATTTGGATGTTTGTATTAAATACCTTACCATGGGAATAGGTGACTGTAATGGGGAGTAACATTTGTGATGGCTTGGTGTGAGAGTGGTTTTGTCACAGTTCAGGCAAAGCAGGTAAATGACCCTGCTGCTGCTTTCAGCAGGGTCAACAAGGCAGTTTAATCTTCTGCTGTAATCAGCTGTTTTCTTGCATTAAAATACATTTCATTTCTTCATTGTCACAAAATTTTAATGGAGCTGTTAGAGGAGCAGTGCACGTTCTGTAGTCAGGAGCATCTCTGGGATCAGAGTTGGGATTGTTGGCTCCTGGCTCCGAGTGAGCACGGAGAGCTCAGCTGCACGTGGAGAGCCTGCAGCAGGAAGAAGCAGATGCATCTCCCCAGCCAGATGGAGCATATGCCAAGAGACAAGTGTAACAGTGTGGGGAGCATAAACAGAAAAGTTGGTGTTGAAACACTGTGTTTATAAACCAAAAGCTCTCTGGTTTTGTTTTTCATCCAGCTTTCTCCACCTCCCAGCATTGCTTCTTTTCCAGGCTGGGAATAACCAATGTGTATTTTGAACTGTTGTTGGTGCGTAGTAGTTTGTTTTGGTAGCACTTGAATTGGTTCATTGCTTCCTTTTTTTTAAATTTGGGTTGACTTCATATGAAAATGAAGATCTGGGAATTGTATCTAAATATATACTTGGATGTACACATACAAAATTAGATGAGAATGACCTTCAGTTAATTGATCTTATTTCCTTCCTCGGTAGATACCTGGTGTATCCGATCTAGATAAGGATTTGCAAAGCAATTTGGGCTTCCCTATTTTGCTATTCAATGCTAAAAAGTAAGATGGTGGAAACTGGGCCAAATGCTTAAAAAATAATTATTTATTTGTTTTATAACATAGGCTACACCATAATTTTAAAAATTTCTTCTTAAAAAGAAAATGCCCTGCAACCAAGAAAATGAAAACTGATGCTGAATGTATGTGACTAAAATCTCCAAATCTATGTGAAATGTCAGCACAGCTTTACAGAACTGTGAGGTGGCACCAGGAATGCTGATGGTTAAACACACACTGGAGATTGGAGGGAGGCTGGCACTGTGATGTGTTGTTTTGCATTCCTGTGTATTTGATAAATGGAGAACTGCCAGAAGTGAGCAAAACCTGGGGGGAATAAAGAAAGAAAAAAGCTTTGGGCTGATAGAAGAACATGTATTGGTGTAGTATTATGTATATTTGTAGTTCAAACCACTTGATTTGGTCTCCAAACACTGTGGGAATTAGTGGTGCATGTTTAAAAGAAGGAAAAAGCTTAAAAATTATTTCAGTGAAGGAAGGAAAAGACTTGGTAATCTGCCCATGATGCTGAGAAAATGTAGGCATTATTGGGCTTGATTTGCTAAATGATTATGTAAATGTAATTATACTGCATATAACATTTCAAATAATTTGAGATGGCACACAAATACCTTTGAGACATTTTAAGGAGGTGGTTGAGGAGGATTTATATATGGTTAA